CAATTGTAACCCTGGCGGTGCTGCCCTCCCGCGGACAGCCCCGGAACTGCGGCTCGCCTGGAACAGCAGCGATTATCCCAGCGCCTGTCTGGGGCGGGCTTTCTCTGAGCCAAGCGTGTGGAAAGATGGGAAGGTTACAGCTACAAGTACTGCTCGAGGCCAGTGTCATGCTGTCTGAAACTACTTTTTTTTTTTTTTTTTTTTTTTTTTTTTTTTAAGTTCCTTGGAACCATCTCCCACCAACAATGTCGTATGTGGTCAGAAGTAGCTTTGCCCTTACTGCTGCATATTTCTCAAATATCTTGATTTTCCATGGCTGCTTAGTATTTAATTTATACTTTAATGGTCTTAAACTTCCCATTTAACTTGTCTAGAGACTTCACTTTTGCAGAATTACTTTGTGTGGTTAGTAAGACTTGTGAGTGTCTTGGAAGGAAAACAACTTCTAGGAGTAACAAGGAAGGGAATTACAGAGCAGGGAGTAGAGTTGTAGGGAATACACTGCAAAGCAAGTGTTCAAAAACTGTGCTGTTTTCAGAATGTGGCTGTCAGGCACGAGGGTAGGTCACAGAGGTTTACCTTGGTGGCAGCACAAACAGCAGATCTACATGTGAGGGGAGAATAAGCTCTAGGAAGCAGTTAAGGATGCTGCAAGGAAAGCAGGCAGGACAGATCTGGGTTTGCAGTGTGTTACTGGTTTGGGCACATGGGAACACAAGGGTGAGGGCTGGCACAGGGACAGTGAACGCGGCAGCACAGCTTCATCCAGATCCACTGTCTTTAACTCTTGTACAGACAGGATCCAAATCTCTGAGCTGAGACACACAGGGAAAATGTGCTGAGAGGGAAGTGCTGGGAATATCTGTGAGTCTGAATGGAATTTTTTTTTTTCCACAGCTAGAAAACAGTCCTCATGAATTTGCACTTTAGGTTATCCATGCATCTGGAGGTAAACCAGCCACTGCTGCCTGAGCACTTCAGCTCTGATCATTCTGTGTGTGTGTGGAATGTGTCCCTTGGAGTAACAGGACTTGCGCCAGGCCTCTGTCCTTGTTTGTGCACTGTGTGTGTGCTGTGACATCTTGCCTTCTCAGGGACCCTTCAGAGATGTCTCCTCTGGAAAGGAAAAGCTGAATAATTGTGTGTATTTCAGCTGACAGCTTTGCATTGCATATGCTGAGTTCAAAGTACTCACTGGTCAGTGGAAAAAGGTTACTTCCATAGCAGTTTACTTTTCCAGGAAAAGGGAGATTTGATCTTTATTAAAGGGAACACCTGAGAGAATAGGAGGGAACTGGGGGAGAAGGTATTTTAAATAGCGCAACATCAGGGACCTGTTGGGTATCTGGTCATTGCACTCGAGTCAGTATGGAATCCTTGTCAGGAAAAAAAGCTCATGTCTGCAGGTGGTAGATGGAGCCCCTGTGGTTGGTTCTGTGTTTTGTGACACTGCTTATACATTCCAGAAAAGAAGCAGCTGAGGAGTAGAGATGTTCCCTTGCTGCACAGGCTGCTGCAGGGGCCCTCTGAGAAGGTTGGCAAATCCTTTCTCATGGATGGGGACGTGGAAGAGATCAGCAGTGATGTATGTATATCCTCACTTCTCAAAGCTCATGGAGTTTTCCTCAGTGACCACAGTCAGCAGTGCCTTTCTTGTCTTCTCCTTGGTAGGTGGCTCAGTACATTTCATTCCATCTTCCCTTCTTGGAATCCATTCTGCACAGAATAAATGAAGAGGAGGAGCTGGAGATTCAACAGACAACTACAAGGTAAACAGACACAAAATGAGGTGTCACAGAGTCCAGGGCAATCTGTACAATTGGCTCATGAGGAGAACATATGGATGTAGCAGAGTGCAGGTGGAACACTGTGATTGGAAGGCTGGAGGCATTGGGAGGGTTTGTAATCTTTTCCCTATCCTGCTGCTCTTAAAGATTCCGTAATTAACACTGACTACACACAGACTGGGGACCTCAGAAAATTTGGACCCTCAGGGTAACTTCTCTTTATTTTGTTTGCTGTTTGCTTTCTGGGCCTTTGACTGGCTTGGTCGGTACTTGCTGCTGTTCCCTTGGAAAGGGTAAATGCAGCACCATTTTGGTTCTGTAGCATTTCAGCCACATCAGTGCCTGATGTCCCCTTAAAACTTGAGGTGAGTGATGGAAATGCCCCTGGCAAAAAGGGGGATTGTCCCACAGGTACAAGCCAGAGGAGCTGCCATATTTGTGAGCCTCTCCTGAGTCCAGGAGCACCAAGAGGCTGCAGCAGCCACAGATCTGTTACTGCACGATGGGCTGATAATCACCTTGAATCCAAGTGTCAGGAAACATTTAGAAAATACCAGACTTGCCTGCATTGGGAAAGTGGGCCACGGCCACAAAGGTTGGGAATGGACCCACGTGTGAGCAGCTGGCTGGAATTTGGGCTGAAGGTTTGCAGAGGTTATTTCAATGCCTTCTCCCTCTCAGGTACACATGAGAGAAGAGGCTGATCCAGCAGCACCTGCGCAGCCGGAGCATTCAGAGAACAGAGACCACGGTGTGAGGGGACGGCCCTGGAGAGCACTGGGAATGCCCCTGGAACGCCTGGGCTGCTGAAGGACAGTCCTGCTGCCTTCTGGGCTGGGACTGAGCAGTGACAGCGCCCCGTGGGAGAAGTGTCCCCTCACCATTAACCCCTGCAGTGCTGGGGTGCGGGCTGCAAGCACCCACAGAGATGCACATTGCCCAAACTGCAGATGCTGGCTCTGACTTGGAACTTGGGCAAAAACTCCCCTTAAAAGCCCAAGGCTTTAAATCCTGCTGATGTGTGACCTGGCACCAAGAGACTGGTGTAGAAAAATGCTGCAATAACCAATGTGCTGATAGAAAATGTGCAAACTAGGAATATGGTTATCCCTCTGTTAAAGAAATGTTGTGTTATATCAGCAGAAAGCTTTTCAGTAGAGCCAAGTGGCAGAAGATATTTATGTATTTAAGACTGCAGGTAGGATTTCCATTTAAGTTATAAAACATCCATGCAAGATGCCTGAAATCCATGGGCTTCAGGCTTGTGGATGCAGAAACTGCTTAAGCTTTGAGCTGCTGTTAGAAAAACATAACTGGAAACCCTCCCACTTAGGAGCTGCTGAGCTCTTAGCAATGATAGGGAATTTATTGCTGAAATACCTCATGCACTGCAAAGTAAGAACTGACTGAACACTGTGGGGTCCTGAAAGGCACCTCAGTGGTTTCTGTAGTTGGAATTATTGATTGTGTTCCTTCCTGAGTGTTCTGTTTGATGGGAATGGAGGTGCTCAGTGAGAGGCCGCGTGTCACAGCCAGGGAGGGCTGGGCCCACGGCCTCCCCAGAGATGCAGTTTGGCTCCAGCCCAGCCCCACGCAGGGCACTGCAGCCCCTGCCAGGTCCTTCCTGGCTGAGCTGTGCTCCATCTTAGAGCTCCAGTTACAGAGACGTAAATAAAATAAATCTCTGCACAGCTCCTTGTCCTCCTGCACTACCTGATTGTCTTCAACTGGTATTTGTGCCTTACCTCAGCTGCTTTGTCTCAGGCAGGTAACAAATGCTTGTGAGGGAGGAAAGGGATGTGCAGAACATGTGGCCTCGAAATTGTATGGAGTAAATCAAATTTTAAAACTTTTACACTGCCTGAAATCCTGTTACTGGGATGGGAATTCAGAAAGTAAAGGTCAAGGTGCTGATATTGAAGCTCCTCAGGTTGCAGCAAGTGTGTTGTTTCAAAGTACAGTTTATAATCCTGCCCAGGAGAATGGGTAGGGACAAGGGAGCACAGAGGGCAGAAATAACAATAAGTCATGGTTAAGAGGTAGGAATTAAATAGGCCATTTTTGTCACCATCTGATGTTCAAGACTTGAATCCTTTTCAATTCTCTTGTCTTGCTGAATTGGGACTGAAAACTTTGGGCAGACAGAAGTTTGGGGATAGGGCACAGAGCTGGTGCTGTTGGCCAGGATTTCAGGGAGAGGGCAATGGTGCTGTGACGCCTGAGGGGCTGGTTCTTTGTGACTGCTGTGCTGTCTAAATGAACCATTTCTGACAAATACAGGCAGGAGCAGGGGAAGAATCTCTTCCAAGGTATTCTGGGACACTCAAGGAAACACAGCAAGGACACACAGGTGACAGAGGAGAGGGAGGTCACTCAGGTTCAAACACAAAGCCATTAACCACAGAAACAGTGATCACAGTCTATATCTTACCTGAATTTGTGCATTTGATCTCATTTGCACTTACACTTCATAAGATTTAAAATGCCTTTGTTTGTTTTGTTCTGAGACTATTTGGGATAATATGATAACATTTCCTACCAGAAGGTGGTGGCCACAGCCAAACCCTGAATTTCCATCACTTAGCTTATTGTTTCAGTGGATTTCCTTACGGGGATTCAGCTCTCTCTGACCTAAAGGTGGCTTTTTGTCACTTGGTTTGCTTTAAATGCTCCCTGTGCTATTTGTGTCCCTTGTCCAGCGAGGACCTTCCCAAGAACTGCTCAGCTCCTTATGCCGACATCATTTTCTCACTCCTTGGGATGAGTTTGGACCCTGGAAAAAGGAAAATCCCTGGGAGCATCAGTGTCAGGAGGGTGGCTGGTGTGTCTGTGACACGTTCAGCGCTCATTAGGCTGTGACTGCACTCGCGCTAATTAATGGGCACAAGAGCAGTAGACTGGGTTCGGCCGAGCTCGGCTCGGTTCGGCGGAACTCGGAGCCGATCGCAGCATTCGGAGCTCAGCTCGGCTCGGTTCGACCGACCCCGTAATGTTCAGGTTGGTTCGGCTTATCTAGTTTGGTTCGGCTTATCTAGTTCGGTTCGGCTGAACGCGGTTCCGTCCCGTTCCGTTCAGCTCACCTCGGCTAAACTCGGATCGATTCGGCAAATCCCGGCCAGAGTCGCCGCTTCGGTTACGCTCGGCTGTTCTCGGCCACACTCGGCTGTTCTCGGCTCCACTCGGCCGCACTCGGTTCTTCGGCCGTCCCTGACTCTGCTCCGCGGCGCAATGGCGGCCGGTGGCAGGGCTCCGCTGCCCGGCCTGAGCCCCATGAGGGGACAGAGCGCTGGCACAGCCGCCTCAGCCCGGGTCACCCTGGCCCTGCCCGGGCCCGCGTCCCCCGGAGCGCGCCCTGCAGCGCAGAACGCGGCCTCGGAGCCAGGAGCGGGGCCAATGGCCTTGGCTCGGCAGCGGCGCCGGGAGGCGGCGGGCGGTGCCCTCAGGTGAGCGGCCGGAGCGGAGGGAGCGGGGCCGGGGGCACCCACAGCGGGACGGGGCACCCACAGCGGGACGGGGGCACCCACAGAGGGACGGGGCACCCACAGCGGGACGGGGGCACCCACAGCGGGCCGGGGCTGCTTTGGGCGCTGCTGCTGCGGGGGACCCGCCGTGGGTGGGACGGGGCTGTCCCGGGCCTTGCGGCTCTCTGGGATCGCGTTCCGTGGAATAAAGCTGCGGGTCGTCCCAGCTGCGGGGGCAGCGCTTTGTTGTGTGAGAAACAAAGTTCACTCCTTAGAAGTTTTACACGTTTGTTAAGGGATAAAAGCCAGCGCTGGGAGGCTGGGCTGTTTGCCAGGAGCAGCCGGTTACCTTTAACCGTGTTCTCTAGATTCTGTTCCACTGCAGTGGTGTATGCATATTCATTCGAGTTTGTACATATTCAAACAGTCCTTGGAGTTTAGGTGTTCTTTTGCTTGGTTTTAACCTTCGTGCCATCTTGTGGATTAAACCAATATACTTTATTTCTTCCTGTGGTGCCATCCTGTTTTATTTTCACTCCCTCGGTATTTGATAACGAGGGTCAATAATTTTTGCCTTTTTCTCGGTGCTCTGGTTTCTGTTTCTGTTATCTTGTGTTTCAGATAAGATTGTCCCCAAATGTGGGAAATCACCTAATTATCTTACACCATGTTCTGAGTTCCTTACATGTAAAATCATTTTGCCATTTCACAGTCTCTATTATGCTACAGTCTAAAATAGTATCTCTTGCACTGCTATTTATTAAAGCTCTGCAGTGCATACATGAACTGACAGATGATACTTTATCAAGAGCAGTAGTTACAGATTGTGCTCTCTCAGGAGTTTTGTGGGCAATACCACTGTGCCAGAGCTAATACACGAATGGCAGAGGCAATAACTGCATTTGTTATGTTTCATTCTGGGCTGGGCTGGGCTCTGTGTCCCGGGAAGCAGCGGGATGGGGGTCCCTGTGTCCACCCCTGGGTCCCAGAGAGAAGCTGCTCCTGTGGCTGCAGCTGAGGGGCACTGGGAACCCTGAGCAGTCCTGATGGAAACCGATGGCAAACCAGGTTTTATTGGGTTTGGGACTTGGCATTTCCCCCGCTCCGTGTGTTTTGCCTTAGGAAACAGGAACTGGGCACCGAGACATTTTGTTACCCTAGAAGGGACGAGTTTCTTTGTATTTATTTCCTGGGGCACTGGAACGATTTGGGTCTCAGCTGGCACCCGAGAGCCTCCTCTGTGTCCCGGGTGGGGTGGTGGCGATCAAAGGGGTCAGAGTTGGGGCAGGAGGGTGGGCAGAGGGGGGAGCAGTGGCTCTTTGGGGATTTGCATCTGGAAAGGGCCCTCAGGTTCCTGCTGGGAGTCCTGGGAACAGAGCTGGGAGTGGCTGGGCAGTGAGGACGTGCAGCCGGAGTGCTGAGAGTGCCGAGGCTGCAGTGGCTGTTGCTGCTGCTCTCCTGCTGTCCCATCTCTAGCGCTGGGCTGGCACCCGGGCACCTCCCAGGGCTGGACACCCTCGGGGCAGGGGTGGCTTTTAAATGTTTTAATGCTGCAGCAGCGCCTCAGATTGGATGAGTGTGAGGATGTCCAGCTCTTCCTTAGGCCTTGGAGCATGGCCAGGGTGCAGAGCTCGTGGTCAATCTTGTTTACACACTTGGAATAGCAAAATATTTTAAAACAGGGACTTTGAGGAAATAACATAGGTGAGTCTGTTGCAAGGATAGGTACAAGCTGTCCTTATTAAAGATCCACACTGCTGGATGTTTTGTCAAACCCCTCTGGGGACAGGACGTGTCCCCAGAGCTTCATTAACCCCTTGTTTCCTGCTGCAGGGCAGGGTGTGCCCCAGCCTCGGGGCTGTGTGGCTCCTCCTGCCTGGAGCAGGGACAGCCCTGGGGCTGAGCCACAGAGGTTCAGTTGTTGGAGCAGGTGGGGATGGATCTCTCTGTGCCTGGGAATTGTTGTTGCTGCCTGACTGTCACAGCTGCAGGGCTCCCTCAGAGCCTGTGCCTGCAGCAGCACTTGGGGCTCCCGTGCTGGGCAGGAGCAGCTCTGGGCTGGGCTCTCAGTGCCATCAGTGCCCATGGAAATGCAGCGCTGGTTTCACTTCCATCAGCCTCTCTGCTGTGCCACCCTCGGTGCCAGGGCACAGAGCTGTGGGGAGGCCCCATCCCATCTGTGCCAGGGCTGCCAGCGCTGCCAGCAGCAGTGCTGGGCACCAAGGGCTGCCTTTGGAGCCTGGCTTTCACACAGGGTCACACACTCTGCCCCTCAGCATCCAGCTGTATCCTACAGCTGGACAGTTCAGCCAGCAGGGATTGGAGTCAGCTCTGGGGCCCAGAGCAGGTTCTGTCCCACAGAGAGGGACTGAGCTCCCTGGCACAGCTCAGAGATGGGCTCTGCCCTTTGGGGCCGGCAGTGAGTGCTGCCAGGTCATTGTGATAAGGGGAACTGAAGCTTTCCTAGAAAAGCCATCAGCTGTAAGGAGAATCTGTGGAAAACAGGTGCTTGGTGCACTGGCTGGTAGTAGGTCCTGGGCTTTTCTCTTCTTTCCTTTAACCTGTTCTTAAGAGGACCCCAAAACTGCAAAATCAAAAGGAAGGGGGATGTGGGGGTGAAAGTTGCTTTTCATTTTTTGAAGTGTTGCTGTGGATTTTGGTGTGTCAAGTGGCACTACCAAAGCAGCATTGGAATAACCAAACTTTGGGACTCTGCACTTAATTCCTTTAATGTGTTTGTGTGGGTGCAGGAAATGCCAAATCCCAAAGCAATTCCATGTCTGTAACTTCAAGTGCAAAGTCTTTAAAGCCAAGTGCTCAGTGTGGGCTTTCCACGTGGATGCAAATGGTCAAAGGCCTTTCTTGTGTCCCAAAAGCAAAAATCCTTTCCCTGTGAGGCTTTGGAGGGGATTCTCTTTGGGATTTCTTGTGATGCAGCATCCTGAGTGTCCCTTCCTTTGTGCAAAGTCCAGTGGTAAAGGATTGAATGACTGACATGTGGGGTCTGGGATAAAAATGGTTCTGTGAAATTGGGCAAAGAATGCAATATGAAAAATGAGCATCCTGTTATTGTCTGAAATAGTCAGGAATAAAAATGCTGGCAAAGGACACGTTTGTGTTTGAATTGGTGCCACCTCTCATGGATAAAACCCCATAGGGAGCAATCAGAGCAGAAGTATGAGAGCTGGGATCCTTTGACTTCCACAGTGGACTTAATTTTCTTTTCTCCTCTCTTTGAGGGCAGGAAAAATCATCCAACTCCTCCCATCTTTGCCAGAAGCTTTGGTGTTTAGGCAGCCAAAGGCAAGAGGCCTCAGCACCAGGGCTCTGTCCTGGAGGGCTCTGCTCCTGCCCACGCTGTGGGGTAAGTCAGAGGGACACAGGGCTCCTCTTTTCCTCTCTGCTGGCATTACCTGCCATGGCAATGCCATTTGTGCCAGCCCAGCCCCAGCTGTGTCTGCTGGACAAGGGCAGAGGTGAAGGGACAAATGCCAGAGTTCCCTGGGGATGATGGAGCTGTGGTGTTGGCTGTGCCCTGAGGGGCAGCTTGGGCATTGTCTGTGCCCCCAGGACTGCTCTGGGCTTCAGGAGCTCTCAGTGCATTCCCAGCCATGCCAGGGGTGGCAGCTGGGGCAGGGCTGGGTGACAGCCCCTGCTGGGGCTGGGCAGGGCTGGGTGACAGCCCCTGCTGGGGCTGGGGCAGGCACTGGCCCTGGCACGGATGCAGGGGCAGGGCTGGGAGGGTTTGGCAGCAATGGGAGGAGAGTGAGGGATGGTGTGGGCACAGTGCTCAGCCTGTGCTCTGTCAGCACAGCCCTGCAGGGCACTGGGATCTGGGAGCAGCTCCAGCTCTCCTGGTGCCCAGGGATGGGCTCTGAGGGACTGGGCTCACCTGTGGCCTCCCAGGTCAGCAGGAACAAGGGCAATGTGGCCAGAGCTGTGGCCCATCAGGCTCTGTTTCCCTCTGGGAAAGCAGAACAGTCTCTGGGCTCAGGTGAGTTTCCTGCAAGTGCTTAGAAGAGAAATCCAGGGAAAAGGGAGTTCAGCAATTGCATCTGCTGCTGGGAACAATGCCTCAGGCTTGCTCAGTTTGTGTCTGTGAGAAGTGGGCTTTGGGCTGGAGAGGGGCTCTTGGGAACAAAAGATGGAGTCAGTCCTCTCCAGGGATGTGCAGTGAAGGACTGAGTGGGAGGGAAGGGGAGTATTTAGAAATGATATCAATATTTCTCCCAAAATTGGGGTGAAGCAGTGATGGGAGTGGTTGGGTTTGCTCTGGGCCTTGTTATTCTTTGTGCAACTTTTAAATTCTGTTGCATGATTTACTGTCCAGTATCTTTCTAACAAAAACTGACAGAAATTTAGGTTCAGGATTAGAACTTAGGTCCATTCACTGCAGATCTTGCCAAGGCTGGAGGACTGGGATGCTGGCTGCTCTCAGCAAAGGTTACTTATTAATGCTGTGTCAGATTCCCCTCAGTGCTGGGCAGGAAAGGTGAGGGTTTGGATCAGGAATTCTGCAAACAGGGCCTGTGTGACGGTTGATTTGTTTTGTTTTTCAGTGAGCCAGGGCTGGCACAGGGAATCGTGCAGGTACTGACCAGAGCTGCTGCCCTTTGGAGCCATTTTAAAGGTGTGATCATAGAACATTTTGGGGGCTGTTTTCAGCAATCTGGGTTTAGAACTCCTGTCCCCAGCCTGTTGCTGACCCTGAGACATCTGCTCTGGTTTCAGGCTGTCCTTGCTGGAGCACCCTGGTCCCTGCCATCCCCAAGCCCTGGGACACAGAGGGAGCCCTGTCCCAAGTGGCTTTGGCACCTTGGCAGGGATGTGGCAGCAGCCCCAGAGCAGCTGGAGGTGAGAACTGGGTGTGTGAAACTGAGCAGTGCTTACCTGGGGCTGGGGGAAGGGGAGGAGTTTCCATCCCCCTGGAGCTTTCTGCTGGCATGGGGCAGCACAGGGAGCAGCATTAATTGTGCCACTCCCATGGGCACTGCTGCCCTTGGTGTCTCTGCTGTGCCACCAGACGGTGGCAGTTTGCTGCTGTCACTGCCACCCCACTGGGGCTGTGCCCTCCTGCCAGCCCCCACAGGAGCTCCAGGGGTGCCTCTGTGCTCTGTTGGGAGCGTTTGCTGGGAATGTGCCTCATCCCTGGCAGTGTCCCTTTGTCCCTGGGCTGCCAGCCAGAGCTTTGGGCTGCTCAGGCTCAGGGCTGGATTGCCCAGGGCACTGAGAGGGAGCAGCACAGGGAGGGTGACAGGGAGGGGCTGGCAGAGCCCAGCTGGCAGCCTGTGCTGGTGCTGCAGGTGGGGCTGGGGGCACTGCAGGGAGTGACTGTCCCCTTCCCTAAGCAGCCCTGCAGATCCCAAGGGCTCCTAGAGCAGGATTTTATTCCTTACTTCCCTTTGTGGAAATTCGTTCTCCCAATTGCCATGAGCAATTCTTTGATTTCTCTAGGAGAAAACCTCCCAGCAGAGACAGATTGCAATGGAGGCCAGAGTTGTGTTTGGAGCAGGGAGTGCTGGGAGCTGCATCTGCCTGTGCTGCCACAGCCTGAGCACAGCCTGGGAAAAGGGACTGGGGGAGTTCTGGTGCCCCAGTGAGAAGAACACAAACTCAGCCATTCAGCCTGACAGGCCCCTCCACCCAGAGCTCAGCACACATCCTCAGAGGTAAGTCCAGAAACACAGAAGAAAAAGGTGACTTGTTTTGCTTTAAAGTTATTTCAAGTTGTTATTAAAGCCCAACCAACATTTGCTCTTGATTTTGGTTGGGTGAGTAACGAGCAGTGGGCACAGATGATGCCATTCATGTAGCTGCAAACCTGGTATCATCTAGAGGGGATACAAGAACTGTTTGTGTGGGAAAATGCAATGTGAGGGGATGTCAGGGGCAGTGAGGTGGCATTTGTGAGGGAATTGCTGAGGTCATTGAAGGGAGAGCAGCAGACAATTCCCCTGGGAAATCCAAGGGCCCACAGCCAGGACTCTCCAGGGCTGAGGGGGCAGCCCTGAGACTCACTGTGTGCTCCTTCCTTGGCAGCAGCCAGCAGGGAAGGGAGAAGAGGATCCCTGTGGGATGAGACTGGAGAGAGCGAGCAGAGGAGCGGCCTCGGGCTGGAGAAAGGCAAAGGGACCAACATGGTGTCACCAGGGCACCTGTGAGGAACAGAATGGGCACTTGGAGGCCACATGGAGGTGAGGAGTGGATGGTTTGGGGCAAAGTCTGAGTTTATCTACAGGGAAATAAGCAGGGGATATTTAGGAGGGAAAAGCTGAGGTGATGAGCTCACCCACCCTGGCACAAGGTGTGTTTGCACAGGCTGGGGCCAGAGGTGAAGGTCAATCCAAAGCCAGCCCTGCTCAACCTCTAAATCCCAGGATAAGTTGTACAGGCTGCCCACTGAGGGATTAAAAATACATAAAAATGAAACCAAGAGCATTCATGAGATTCCTGGGAATCCCATTAACTTGTTGTCAGAACTCCCAACACAGTTTTGAGCTTTGGTGACAAGAATGCATTTCTTTATTTGGATTATTCACTGGGTGGGATTTGGGGTTTATTTGGATTTTAAAGCTCTCATGGTGGCCCTGACACTGCTCAGGAGCTGGTAGGAAAAGCAGAGTCAGAGCTCCTGGCAGGCACAGGGTGTTTTCCCTCATAGTGGATTGTGGAGGAATTGTCTGGGACCTGGATTGTCCCTCTGGGTGATGCCACTTGCTGTGATTTGTGTAATTGCACACATTTAATTCCCAAAACTTCCCAGCCCAGGGGTTTGAGCTGACAGGGCAGGACAAAGATTGTTCTCTGTGCGGGGCCCAGATTTGGGATTCGATGTCAGCTGTGCTAGTTCTGATGAATTATTCCCAGAGCCCCAAATTCCCTGCTCCATTCCCACTGCAGTAACCTCCCAGTGCCCCATGGAGTGTGGGCATTGCCATGCAGAGCTGCTGCCTTGGACAGCAGCTGTGCCAGGAGCCAGCAGAGCTTCCAAGGAAGCTCAGCAGCACAGGGACAAGGACAGGGTTATATTCCATAGAACTGGCATTTGGACCCTCACCCCAATGGTGTCCCTGGGGTCACTGGATAGAGCTGCCTGGAATTGAGCTGATTTCACCCCCCTGAGCTCCAGAGTGGAGAACATCCAGTTGATGTTTAAAGCAGGAGAAGGCAGTGGCCAGATGTGCTCCCAGCCTGTGCTGGGGCAGCCCCTGTGCCCGGGGGGGGGACATCTCTCCCTGCAGGAGCTCAGCTCCTTTCAGAGCCTCAGCAGTGGCCTCTCCAAATTCTTTTCCCTCAGGAAGGGGATGCACAGCTCTGTCTGCAGCACACCTCCAGTGGGACCTACCTGTGAAAGCTTTCCTTCACTTGTGCACTTGCAGCTGGATCCCTGAAAAACTCCAAACTCCATCCCACTGATTTTCAGGTATCTCTGAGGGCTACTGTCTGGGATTTAATACCTGTGGGAGAAGATTGCCTTGCCTTTAATGCTGCTGATGGATGATGGCCTCAGGCTGGGGAGGGGAGGGAAGGGATTTGGGGTGGCTGGGACATACCTGCAGTTGTGTGGGAGCTCTGAACCGGGAATTTCTGTGTGAGCCCCTGTGCAAACAGCCTGTGCCTCCATTCCCAGGTCATACCAGCTGCTCCTTGGGGTCCTTCTGGGCTCTTGGTGCTCTGTGTGGGCTGGAGCATTTCCACGTGCCTGCTCAGAGCAGCCCCTGGCCGAGGAGCCACAGTGCAGGCACAGCTCCTCCCCTGCAGATCCCAAAGACACGAGGGGCTGCTTGCCTTCAGGAGCTTCTGGCTCCTCCTGCCCTGCGCTCCCAGCCAGTTGGGACACGCTGAGGGAACACCAGGGAGCATGGCTGGCAGCGAGCAGGAGACACCGAGGCCTCTGGGCCCAGAAACAGCCCCGGCCTCAGCAGCCACCGTCGCTTTGGCCTGGCAGCGCTCACGTGCGGGAAACGCCCCCTGCCACTCTCCAGAGGCACTTTGGCCACAGAGCAAGGGCACCCTCAGGACTTGTCTTGTTCACTTCTTCTGGGGAAGCCGAGGGACATTGTGTGAGCACGTTTACAGCTGCCAGGTAAATCCTGGAAAGGGCAGAAAAATCAGGGTCATGGGGAAGAGTTTGGTGCTGACATGCTGAGTGCCAGCCAGTTGTGCCCTACGGCCATTGCAGGGGCTGGTGTGTAAAGCAGCATTAGCAGAAGGGAAGGAGCTGCATTTGCAGAGGAGTTCTCTTACTGGCAGCAGTCATTCCCATCCCACACAGGGCCTTTGGAACAGCCCTGGGATTGGCCCAGGTGTTTGGAGCAGGGTGCTGAGAGGACCAAAATTCTGTGTTCAGTGTGCAGCTGAGCCAGTCAGTTCTCAGCATTTGACTCAATGATCCTCATGGCTCTGGAAATAAAGAGCAAAGAGTTTTCACTGTTTTTTCCCTCGTGTTTCCCAGTCCCAGGCACAATTGGAGCAGGAGCAGCAACGCCTCGGCCCCAGCGGCCGTCCCAGAACAGCTGCTCCCGGCCGGGGCGCTGCAGCCCCCGGGGTGCGGGCACGGAGAAGGGGCTGCAGGCGCTGGGGCTCGTAGGGGAGCGCGGGGCTCCTGGGGTTACCGGGCCGGGGGGGGGGGCTCGGTGTCCCCCCGGGGTTACCGGGCCGGGGGAGGGGCGTCTGCATCCCCCCGGGGTTACCGGGTCGGGTGGGGGGGCTCGGTGTCCCCCCGGGGTTACCGGGCCGGGGGTGGTGGCGGCGGTACTGAGCGAGCGGCGATACCGATGGGGTCCCGGGGCCGGTACGGGCGGTCTCCGTGTCCTTCCCACTTCCAGCCGTGATCCAAAGGCTGCTCCCGGGAAGCGCCATCCTCCCGGCGGGCATGGCAGCGGCACAGCACCGGCTCCCTGCCGCCGCAGCCGGAGCAGGCCTGAAGTCCCGGCGGGACCCAGCCCTGCACCGGCCGCAGCTGGAGCGGCAGCGCCTGTCCCGGAGCGGCTCTTCATGCCCGCGGCGATGCCGGTCCCGATCCGGCCCCAATCCCACCTCGATCCTCCGGCCCCAGCACCCACACCCTGCCCACCGAGGAAGAAGCGGCTCGGCCCGGCTCCCACAGGAAACACCGGCAGGGTCAGGACCCGGACTCCCGGTCCTATCCGAGCGCCCTGGACCCCGCGCAGCACCAGTCCCTGATCCGGATCTCCGCACAGCGCTCCGACCGACGCTCCCGCCGCATCCCGAGCGGAGCATCCCCCGCCGAAAGCGGGACAGGCGCGGATCCGCCGGGATTTATGGGCGGGGGGGAGGCGGGGCCCCGGGGGCGGGGCCGACACAGGTGTGAGGGACCACAGTGCGCCTTGGGGGATTTAAGGCGCGGGGAGGAAGCGGCTGAGCTATTTGCCCCTCGGTATTCGGTGGGGGAGGTTACTGCTGCCTGGGGCTCTATAGCTCTTCTTCTCTACGTTTCTTTTGTTTTACGTTTCTTTTCTGTTATATTTCTTTTTCTCTATACCTCTCCTTCCTACCCTCCCTTCCACCCCTCCCCTACACCCTCCCCCAAACCCCCCCCTCCATTTACCCCCCAAGCCCTCCCCTCCCTCTTCCCCTACGGCCGTCCCCCGCCCCCTTGTCTCTATTCCCCTACCGTACCCCACCCTACTCCTCTATTCCCTCCGTCTTCCTTCCCTCCCCAACCGGGCTCCCCCCATCCCCTCTCCCTGCTCCCCTAACTCCCCCCCGCCTCCAGTCGCTCCCCACCCGCCCTCAGTCCTGCTCCTTCCTCCACCCTGCCTTCCTCCCAGCCCTGTCCCCTGCTGCCCTGCACACCCCGACCTCCCCCCACCTTCCCGTCACCTACCTCACTGCTCCCCTATTCCCGTTTTCCCCTCTCCTCCTTCCCTCGCAGCCGCGGGGCTCGGGGTGCCGGGCATTAATAAAGCCCTGAGGGCCGGAGCCCGGCGCCCCCGCCCTCGCTGGGGTCCCCACACGGGGCCGGAGCCGCTCTGCGGGTGCCCCCATTGCAGTGCAACACAGGCCCCGCACCGCCGGGGCTCCGGCTGTCCCAGCATCACACTGGGGGGGGTCCTGGGGTGGGGGGGTCCGAGTTACAGGGGCCCCCTCCGGAGGAGGGGGTCCCAGGGCGGAGGGGGGGTTAGGGGGGACCGTCTCCGGAGGAGGGGGGTCCTGGGAGTGGGCGGGGCCTGGGGGGGGTAACTTCCCCCTCCCGGCCCGGCCCCCTCCTCCGGCCCGGGTCCCGCCCCGGCTCCCTCCCGAGGACCCCCCTCCCCCGGACCGGGGCCCGGGGGGAGAAAGGGGGCAGGGCCACGGCCGACGGTCGTATGTCAGGCAATTTCCCCCTTCCCCCTCCCCCCCCGCCCTGTGTGTTCACGCTGCAGAGTGACGTTTCCCCCTCTGCTTCCCTCCCACCTCCGGGCCTCCCTCCCCTCGGGTCCCGGTCCGGAGGAGGGGTTCCCGGCAGGGGGCCGGGGCGGGAACCCGTCCGGGGGAGGGGGCGGGGCCTGGGGGTAACTCCCCTTCTGGGTCCCGCGCACTCCCCCGGACCCCTCCTCCAGAGGGGGCCCCTCCCACCGACCCCCCAGGGGCCCCCCAGTGTGATGCTGGGACAGCCGGAGCCCCGGCGGTGCGGGGCCTGTGTTGCACTGCAATGGGGGGACCCGCAGAGCGGCTCCGGCCCCGTGTGGGGAGCCCAGTGAGGGCGGGGGCGCCGGGCTCCGGCCCTCAGGGCTTTATTAATGCCCGGCACCCCGAGCCCCGCGGCTGCGAGGGAAGAAGGAGAGGGGAGGACGGGGAGACAGGAGAGATGGGGGTGGTGAGGACGGGGAGGGAGAGGGGTCGGAGTGAGGAGGGAAGCGGGAGAGGAAGGGAAAGGCCGAAGGGGAGAAGAGGGACGGTGGAGAGCGGAGGAATAGAAGGGAGAAGCGGAGAAGGGACAGGATGGGAAGCAGTGGGAGTGGGTCCAGTTTGGGAGGAGAGGAAAGGAGCGTTTCAGGGCGAGAGGAAAGGGGGAGAAAGAAAGGGAATACGCGGAGAAGGAGGGAGGGGTAGAGAGAGGGACAGAAGGGGAGGCCGAAGCCTCTGTGCCTCACCTGCGGAGCCCGCACAGGGAGCTCCTGTCCGCACCGTGCTCTGAGTGAGCAATTGGCGATCGAGGCGAATTCCGGGGTCTGAATCACCTCGGCCCCAGCCCGCGCAGCCGCCCCGGGGCCCCGCACACCTGAGCTCTGCCCGCCCTGCACGCCTGAGCTCTGGCCCCGCCCCTGGCCCCGCCCTCTGTTCTTTCAGGCCCCGCCCCCTCACCGCGCCGGGGCGCCGCGCTCGCACCGCGCTCCGTGTCCGCCAGAGGGCGCCCTGCGAGGTCCCGGCCCCACACGGCGGCTCCGCGCCCGCACCGGGGAACGGCCGCGATCCCGCACCCGGCAGCGCCCCGTGCCCGCGGCCGTCCCGGGCCCCAAACCGATCCCGGGCCCGGTGCCACCTCCATCCTCCCGACGGGGGAGAGGCGGCACCGCCCGGGACCTCGGCAGACCCCAGCAGTGCTCGGATCCGCACCCCCTGCCGCCGTCGCGGCCCCGCTGCAGCATCCCGTGCCCGCACTTTGTGTCCCCGTCCCGCTGTCCCGGGACCCTCGCTCGGCGCTGTGTGAGCCCCGGCCCCGTGTGGCGGGGATCGCTCGGAGCCCGGAGCGCTGCGGCGGGGCCGCGACTGGGGACGGGGCTGTGAGACCGAGTCCTGCCGGTGCCCGCTCGCGGGGCGGTGCTGCCTCTGCCCCGGCGGGAGGGTCGCGGCTCTCGGCCGGACTGGGGTTGAGACTGGGCAAAGCCCAGCCTGGGCTCGATGCCCGCTCCTGCTACGATGCCGGGACCACGCTGACCGTAAGCGGGCGATGGAGCCCACAGCCGGAGCCGGGATGGGGCGTTAGGGTCCTGCCGGGGTCTGCCGAGGGGTCCCGGGCGGTGCCGCCTCTCCCCCGTCGGGCGGATCGAAGCGGCACCGGGCCGGGGATCGGTTTGGGGCCCGGGACGGCCGCGGGCACGGGGCGCTGCCGGGTGCGGGATCGCGGCCGTTCCCCGGTGCGGGCGCGGAGCCGCCGTGTGGGGCCGGGACCCCGCAGGGCGCCCTCTGGCGGACACGGAGAGCGGTGCGGGGCAGGGCCGGCACCGCACCCCGGAGCACTCCCGGCCCGGTGCCCCCCGAGGCCGCGGCGCCCCCGGGCCAGAGCAGCCCGTGACTCCCTCCTTCCCTTCCCCGGCGCCGCAGCTCCGAGGGGCTCCCGCCGCACCCCAGGAGAATGAGCGGGACCGTAAGGGCGGCAGAGGACAGGACAGCCCGGGCACCCGGGGTGAAGTTTTTATTTCAGCTTTACTCTCTTCCAGAGGACGCAGAGACTGGTTGAGAGCTCCCACATGCCGGGGATGAAGGATTGTTTCCCCACGCTGCCCAGCGCCGGGGAGAGCTGGAGCCCGCCGAGCTAGAGCAGCACCGAGAGAGGGCAGCGATGCCATGCGGCAAAGCCTCTAGGACAGGAGCAGCGGGAATTGACAGCTGCCCCTCCTCAGCAGACTAAAAAAACACCCACGTGGCTTTTCAGTTTGGGATTATCTTTATTTTACAGTTTATAAAAAGCTTTTCCCAACGCGTGTGCTCCGTTAAACTTCCGTGCCGTCGTGCAAATTGCTGTGGACTTTGACTTCCAAGTTCACCTGCTTCACCTTCCTGCCGTGCCCCTGGCGGCCGCTGCCGTAGTCCCACGGGGAATGAACGTTCCTGACCGTGCAACACCGGCTGCCCACGGCCTGCGGGCCGCCCCGGGGCAGCTCCACCTTGGTGTTCAAGGGGTGCTCCTCGGGAGCGCCGCCGGCAGCCTCCCGCTTCCTCCGCAGCTTGCGGCACTGCCTGGCCAGGAGGCAAATTCCGGACAGCACCAGCAGCAGCAGGGTGAGGGCGGCGAAGGCGCTGCCCAGGGAGGCGCCCGCTTGGGACAAGGAGGCTGCGGCGGCAGCTTCCTCCCTCTCCAAGAGCAGCGACTTCATGTTGGTGCCGTTCTTCAGCTGGTCGCCCTCGTTGTCGTAGACGAGGGACGCATCCAGCGCCTCGGGCAGGTCCCTGCGGCCGCGCTGCCAGCGGCGAGCCAGCGAGCGCTGCACACGGGGCCCGGCCGTGCCCTCCGGGCCGATCACGTAGATCACCTGGAGGTACCACTGGTGCCCAGCTTCCACCTTTCCCAAAGAGAAGGCACGGACAGAAGTCATTAACATCTGTCGGGTTTTACATCAAGTGATTCTGTTAAAAGCTGGTGTGTTTTGTGTCCTGTGTCTGACAAATTCATCTCAGTAGGTTTTTCTAAGCAGTAACACAGACCACCCAGTG